AGATCGCAGAGATCCGAACACGCTGTATCATGGTGGAACCTGTGGATCCAGCAGTAGCAGTGGCCACGGTGGCTTGTGCCGAGGTGGGAAAATCTACATCGTCTGGGTCGTACTCCCAGCGAGATCCATGATCGGAAGATCGAATGGACTCCATCTCGACGTCCTGTGATCCTTGATGCTGTGGACGTGTAGAAGCTGGATCTTTGTTCGCCTCTCGTTCTTCGGCCAGGTATCGGTCCATTGCAGCATTGAAAAACTTCTGCAAGTACCGACTGATCGGTCTGAACTCTCGGTGGCTGTGGCATGATTCTTTGGTGCAGATTCATTATTGCGGCGACTGCTTCTAGCTGGACTAGAGCAGAGGATCTTGGATCTTGCCTCCAGCATTGATGACCCAGAGGGTCCTAGGGACATCCGCCGCGGTGGCTCCGAGGAAGTGTCGGATCCATCTTCCGCGGCTGACGCATAGTGTGACGACACTGTCAGGTTATCGACGGCGTCGGTCGTGCTCAATGGCAGTGGATCCGGACTCTGGGGCACCTCGCCAACTAGGATCTTCAACTTCTGGAACCGATCGCGGCTGCAGCCTCCAATGGCTGGATCTTGGGGGGAGTTGAGAGATCGATGGATCTTCACAGCCAAGCACTAAATGCTGTGGATCCGGAGCTTGCACGTATAGAATAAGTATTAGGTAGTCGGTTCTGGCCAATATATTATCCAGTTATCCAAACTACACTAAATACAATATTCCTAATACGAGATCACCTTATACTGTATGACCAGTATAAGCCTTGATCCGAGGTGTCCGTAATACACTAAGTGTGGATCAAACAAAGAAACCAACCACGGGTGCCCAATGACATGTGGGTGCGCAAGTACGTACGTACTTGCGCTGTTTTCCATCGAGTGCAACCTGCACCTCACTCACAGGCTCCTCTTAAACCACTGCCGACTCCGTCGGAGTGTTGAGAGTCCGTTTCGATGGACTTCGTGTTTGGTCTTTCGCGCGATTCCAGGCGGAAGATTGGTATCGTGACCGTCGTTAACCGTTTCAGCAAGATGGTGCATCTCGCTGCTATCGCAGCGGAGGTGACCTGATACGTCTGTTCGTCGACATGGTATCCAAGCACCATGGCATTCCAAGCGACTTTGTGTCGGACCGCGATCCGCGCTTTACGGCGTGTTTCAGGGAAGAAGTGTTCACCCTTCTTGGAACGCAGTTCTTAATGTCGACTGCGGATCATCCGCAGACATACAGGCAAACCGAGCGCGTGAACCGCTGAAGAGCTACGCCCAGTCGTTACACATTTTGAGCGATTACTTGCCGATGGCCGAGTTCGCCATCAACAATGAGGTACATGCATTGACAGGGCATACGCATTTCTTTGTGAACGCCACGCGGCATTCACGCTTTCCAAGCATGCTTGGGGCGGTGGCTTCCTCCTTAAGTGGAGGAGGATCTACGGTTGCGGTCGAACAACCGCAGAATACAGCTGATTTGGATCTATCATCCGCGATGGCACGTGAGAGAGTGAGAGCCCACGCACGACAAGGCGTCGTGTCAGTGCCGGGTACTGACACTGTGAAGAACCACGAGCAGGCGGAACCTGCGACGACCAATGACAACTGTGTTGAAGTGCGAAAAAGATCTCACGAGCAAGGCAACCTCGGCTGCCAGATCGCGAGATAGAGACGGACCAGGCGACATGAATCCGACCCAGGCCAGGACATCGTGTCACCTGCCCAAGATCGAGCGTGCGACAACGCCGGTGAGTGATGTTGACTCCGTATGACACACGGGAGTGATGGATGGCGACGCCCCTCCATCGTTTTCTTCAAGGATCAAGGCGTGGTGATGGACAGGGATTGTAGATGAACGGCGATCCGGGACCGTGGTAAGGCAGCAAACAGGGATCACCATATGTGGA